GAGCCTTGATCCCGACAACCTTTGAATGTACAGGTTACCTTACTTGCCTCTCAAAGCATTGCTCCCCTACAAGATCAAAAAAAATTCCGATGATTAAAGATGATGTGCCTAATTTGCATCAAAACATACGTATTATGCTAGGGAGAATACAAAAGTATATCAAAGAAGTACTACTGCAAATGCACGCTGTGGATTCCTTTCCTTTAACTCCAAATAATCTAATTTTGTCAGCTCTACCAAGAATTAATTTGCTCCTGGAAATTTAACATTACACAGACTTGAATTTCTTCCTTACATCACCCGTTGCCCAACCATTCCATATCTGAAAATTTCACTCCAACTGTTGAACGTAATTTTATACCAGTTGCATCACAGAGGTAGCAGAAGACCAACACTTTTTTAGCATTTGGGGCTCCAGAGCCATTCTTTCCTTCTCCCAATAGCATTTTTCATTTACATCAGTTTGAGCGCAGTTCAGAAGATTCAATAAGCAATGCAAAATGAGCATGAGATGAAGTTCTCACCTACAGAAATACCCCACTTCTCTGTCTGCGTGACTCCTTTGAGTGCAAGAGAAGAGCCCACAACAGCCCACCTCAGAGGCAGCATGCAGCCATAAGCAAACGGCACAGAGCTGCTGGAACTGCCACCTCCCCAAACCCACCCCATCACTGATAGCAGTGCCTAGCCATGACTTCCATGAGCCAGATCTCATCTTTGGTCACGTGCCAGCAAACTGAAAGGTTCTACACACACACACACACACACAAAAAAAAAAAAAAAAAAAAACCAACAAAAACAAAAACACCAGCACACAAACACTGGCAGAGAATAGCTTAACCTAGAGCCTACATCCATATACCACAAACATTTCTTTTCCAAACACAACTTCAATATTTAAACTTTAAAGGAAAAAGCCCAAGTTGTTTTCACTTTTCACAATTCCTTTCACAATTCTCTTAATACCATCAGAGTACCTGGCTTGCCTTGAGGAACATCAGGGCTCTCCACTAATAGACACGGGTGCTTACAAGGTGTTGTTGCCTTTTTTTTTCTTTTTTTTTTTTCTTTTAATTCATTTAAGCCTTGCAAGCTTTCTTCAATTGCTCATCTCAGGAAGACACAAATCACACCCCACAAAAAAACAAGGCAACTTTTTCCCTATCTCCATTATCACCAATTGTTTTCTTTCTGGATTTCCTTACAGTCTGTAGGAAGGCTGAGTGAAAGATCTATACAAAGAATAATCCTACAAAGGACCAGTGTACTGTGCGCTACTCCCCTCAGGTGCTATTTTAAGGCCTTAGAAGGATTTAACTATGTAACAGAACAAGTAAACATGTAACAAATGTTGGGACCTAGGACAGCACTTGGAGTTGAGATGAAGAGACACCTAAGCAGCACAGACGCTTTGCCCAGTACTTCCTCAGTTTAACAAATTTGATTTCTAACTGCGTTATAAAATTGTATCTAATTATACATACTAAGTTTGCTAAGAAAATGGTTCCTTGAGATATGACAAACTTATTGGCACACGTAAAAAATGGAAACCTATCACTGAAGCTACCAAGGGTTGTATCAATACAGAAACAATAGTTCCAACCCTGCAGTTATTCTTATTTATATGAGCATCTGCTTGAGTCCAAGGGAGTTCTGTCACACATGAGATCAAGACGTTTGGTCACACGTCAGGATTTTAAAAGGAGAAAAACGAAAAACAGCCATCCCATGACGGCAATGAAGGCTTCCCAACAGACAGCCATCGTTGGACCTCGCAAAGATAAGCATCAGCTCAACATCACTGTTTCAGGCTTCTAAAGCCTACTGGTAGTGTGACAGCACAGACCGCATGCTTCATCTGCAAACATTCCAGATAGGAGAAGATAAATTCCTAAGCCACTTCCAAAAAATATCTTATTGAGCTTGGAATTGCATTTCTTACAACATCCGAAGAGCTGCAATTTCATCCGGGGGAAAAAGGACGTTTAAAAAAAAAAAAAAAAAAAAAAAAAAAGGAGGGGGGGGAGGAGGAACGATGGGGAGGCTTGAGAAGACGAGTATGTATAAACACAAACGCAAAATAACAACAGTCATTTGCTTTCCTAAATAGTCCGCACGTTAATCGTGCAGTTCTGGCACCCACTCACGCCAGTACGGCAGCGCGTACGGCTCCGCTCCACTCCCCGGGCTCTGCAAGGATGCGCGCAGCCCCCGGCTCCGGGCTCCCAACACCGGCTCCGTGTGCCGGGTGGATGCGCCGCATCCCAGCGCGCCAGGCGAGGCGGGCATCACGGCAGGAAAACGCTACCGAGCGTACCGCACCCCGAGCAACGCACATGGACCGCGCAAACCGGGCGCTACCCCGGTAAATACGACCTTGGTCCACTGCAGTGTTGTTAATCCAAACGGGCTGTGTTTATACGCTGCGGCTCACGGCGCACGCACACCTCGGGCTGAGCGCAATCATGGAGCCGCGGCGTGGGGGTGCGGAGCCCCCTGCACATCTGCGCACGCACACACACACACACACACACACACAGCCGGCCGCGGTGCGCCCGCCACCCGACTTCACAACCCCAGCAGGCCGAGCCCCGCGTCCGAGGCGGTGCCGGCGGCGGAGGAGGAAGCCTCCTCGGCCGCTTCGCCCGGCGCCCGGCGCACGGCCCTGCTGCCCTCATCCCCCGGCTGCCGGGATCCCCAGTGCCGCGGGGGCGGGCGGCCGTGCAGGGGAAGGGAGCGTCAGTTGCAGCGGGGCCGTGGGTAGGGAGAAGGGGACACGGAGACCCGGAGAGAGCCGGGGAGGACGTCCGGGGGAGCGGCTGGCGGGGGAGGGGGCCGGGGCTCCCCGTCTCTCCGAGGCGAGCCCCGCGCAGCGCCTTCAAGGCGGAGAGGGAAGGCGGGGAGCGGGGCGGGGGAAGGAGGGGGGGAAATGCTGCAATGGAGCGCCGGGCAGGAGGCGAGGGGAGCCGCAAAGCCCTCGGCCGAGCCGCTCTCCGGCCGGTACCCGCCCCGCCGCCTCCCAGGGCGGGCCGCCCGCTGCGCAGCGCAGCGCAACACCCACCTTTCACCACCCTGTCGGTCGTCGACAACTTGGGCTCGCTGGCCTTGTGCTCCGACATGTCCGGCGGCGCGGCGCTCCCTCGCGCACAGCGGGCACAGGCTGAGGCGGCCGCCGCTGCGGGCAGCGCTCCGGCTGCTGCGCCGGGGCCGAAGTTGCCGCGTCCCGCCGCTCCGCTGAGCTCGGCTCTGTTCGCGGTGCCTTCCTCCTTCGTCTTCCTCCACCCCCGTCCTCCTCCGCCTCCTCTTCCTCCTCCAGTTAATTATTTCTCGCTTCCAATCACGCCTCCCGGTCGCTGGAGATCGCTCTCTTTCCCCCCCTCCACAGAAAACGGCGGCGACAAACAACTGTCAGGCGGCGGCGGCGAAAAAGCCCCAATTCGCACCGAGAGCCGTAACCACCGGCTGCACGCACAGCGGCCCCGCGCTCGCTCGCTTCCTTCCTCCGCACCGCAGCGCCGGCTCCTCCCGCCGCCGCCGGCCGCCGCTCTGGGCCGGGATCCGTCTTTCCCCCCACCCACCCCCCCCACGAGGGTCTCTCCCCGCACACGCAGCGGCCCCGGCCCCGCGGCGCCGCACACGCTCCGCGGCACAGCCCCCCCCCCCCGCCCCGCACCGCCCTCCCCGGCTCCCGCACCGCAGCGCCGCCATTGGCCATCGCGCCGTGCCACTCACTGTCAGGTAGCGCCTCCCGCCCGCCCACCGCCGCCGCGCCGGGGCCGCCCAGGTGCGCCGCCACCCGCGCCGCGGGGCCCGGCCTGCAGCGCCCCGCCGCGGGGGGATCGGCCGGGCGCGGAGGGACCCGGGGTTGCCACTCAGGGAGGCTGCGCTCCGGCTGCCGCGACCGGAGCTCGGTCTTGCCGGCGGCCCGCCATCTCATCGCGGCCCCATCGGCGCCCCGCTCCGTGCCGCTGCTGGGCGGCAGCGCGCGGCCGGGTCCCCCAGCGCATTAGGCAGCGTACATGTTGTTTGGGGCTTGTTTGTACACGTAGTGGTTCAGGAGGAGCTATCCCTGACTGATTTTGTGACTAATTTCCAGAATAAGGCTGAACTGTTCCGGTTTAGTTTAATTAAAGAGGAAAAGAGGGCACACCTGTTCTGGAAGGGGGATGTTTAGAGAGCATTGTTGAGTAACTTGTGTGTGGATGAGCCAAGAACCCGGCTCCCCATTCCCCTCAGGGTGATGCGCAGTCTGCTTGTCTAGCAGATACTGCTGCTCTAGAAAGCCACAAAGAAAATAATGGAGCAGTTATGACACATCCTCTCTGCTTTGATTTGCCTGGCACTTTTTTTGGACATTTTATGGGCTCTCCTTGTAGTATTTTCACACTGAACATGAGAAGACACTGTAGCCAGGCCTTCAGAACAGCAGCTTGCGTTCAGCTCATAGAATGTCTTGGTTGGAAAGGACCTCAAAGCTTACCAAGTTCCAACCCCCTTGCCAAAAGCAAGGCTGCCAGCCACTAAGTCGAGTACCAGATCTTACCCAGGGCCCCATCCAACCTAGCCTTAAACACAGGGCATCTGCAACCTCCTTGGGCGGTCTGTTCCAGCGCCTTACCACCCTGTCAGTAACAAACTTCTCCTGATACCATTCACACAGCAAGTTCCTTGCAGTGTGGTCATCCTTCAGTCCCTTGAACACAAACTAGCTGGGAACAAAGCTCCTCTCAGATTCCTCTTGAAATGGTACCAAAGAATCAGAGAATAGCCAGTGCTCACACAAGATATTTGGTGCATGCTCAAATAAGTCCCAGAGTTGATGACAGCAATGCATGAAGCTCCCCCAATACTATGTGCAGTCCCAAAGATCCAAGCACAGAATAACCTGGACAGGAATACCTTCCACCAGCCTCGCTGTGTTTGGGAAGTGCTGCTTAGCAGCACAGAGTGCCCAGGCACAGAAGGAGAAGCAGCACATCAGGAATGCAGCACGGCCAGTATATTTGGGTGTTACACTGTGTGGGACACAGCTTTGTGAGATACAGACGACCAGTTGGGATCTGTCCTTCTGTGACTGCAGGCTGTTTGCATGAGTCACTTTGATTCTTCTTGATAGGCTGCAAGAGCAGAGACACTGGGTCTTGCAGCTCACACTAGCTTCCCCCATTAGTCACAGGACAAAGATTCAGCTCTGATTTTTTTCCAATGAAGAAGTATGACTGTTGCTGCTGACCTAAACAAACAGTCAGTTCACAACTCCAGAATGTTTATAGGAATTCTGAAAGCTACCCAGCTTCTTAGCAGTTTTTCTTACAACTTTTATGATATGCCATCTAGGCCTGTCAGTGTTCTCCAATTTTGTCTTATGAAATGTCTTAGAATCTTGATTATGCATCTCCTGCGTGTAGCCTTCCTTTCCAAGGCAGAATCCCCATTTCAGATCATTTCTTTTTAACAAGTTTTCAGATAAGCTTATGTAAGATAAAGGTGAGTACCACTGCCAAATTCCACGTCATGTCACATCTACAAGCTGCAGTATGGCCAGATTTCAGTTCACAGGTAAAAGACCTCACGTTGCTTCATTGTGATGTGGTGCATTTTCAACCTCCTGACTTGCTTCAGTGGCATTTTCAAATCCCTCATCTGTGCCATGAGGGAAAGAAAGAGACAAAATTCACACAATACCTCCTGTTTTCTTGTAACATAAGAGTTGAAAAAAAAAGTATATCTGTATTTCAATCCATGTTACTAGTAAAGGTCGTATAAATCCCTCAGTGCTTACATGTTCCTTTCCACCCTGCCCCTTCCCATCTGCACAGTTTCTTCCTTCAGCTGTTTCTCACAGGATCTCCTTTACTGCAGACAGATTTCTTTTTCACAGAATCTGAGTTCTATTATGGTCCTTTCTTTTCTTTCTTTCATTTAACAGTAGAAAGAGAACATGGAGATCACCTCTTTGAAAGGAAAGAACACAGTCCATAGATTTATGGGCAAATTCTGACGCACTTGACTTCTTGAATCATGAAGCCTTGGTAGCATTGTTAGTAGGCTCATCCCCTAGTAGGGCAGAAGCCCAGCATAGCAAATGAGGAGATGTCATTTTCTGAAGAGCAGTCACTTCTGATCGCAGGTGCTGGAGACAAGGCCTTTGAGAACTGGGGTTGTGGGGGAAAGGGGAATCGTTTCAAGTCTGAAGTCAGTCCTCTCTTTCTCTTTGCCTCATATGGGCACTCATTTTCCATTTTAGTTAAGACATGACAATTCTTCTGAGTGCATAGCAGCTCCAGAAAGCAGCAGTGCCTATCTGAAGTGGAAGGAGGAATAAATGGCCTTGCAGGTACAGGCTAACAGACATAAACCTTGTCATAGGTCCCATGCAAAATTTAGGTAGCCTGGACTTTTGTTTATGCATCAAGATGAAGATAAATCTCTAGACATGTAACTATACATTTGTATACTGACTCAACTAGTTAAGATTCTGCTTAAAAGTATTGATTGTAAGACATAGCATTTGAATTTTTAATCATCATTATTACAAGAAAAACCACTCCTACCAGTAGGAAGCTTGTCCGTCATGCCTTAGTTTTAGTCCCTGGAACTTCTGGCTTTGAATACAATAAATGTAAGTTTGACAGTGTCTTGGAGTGAAAGTGCTTTTGAGTGTTACAATTACTACACAGAAAATAGGTGCAGCAAAGTTAGTCTGGATATCTGTGCTATCTTAAATGATTGTTTTCCTGAATTTTCTTTTAAGGGAGATCAGTAGTTGTTTCAGTTTACTTCCCTTCAGTGTGAAAGTGATGGGATTCTTAACAGCTGTGTATCCAAGTCATAGGCACAGTGCCAACAACACAGTTGTCTACAAGATTCAAGCTGTTACATAACTAGGTGCCATTGACAGTGCATTTTCAGGAGATACAATCCTAGGCTGAAGTTCACAGTGCCAACTATGAGCACTTAAAACTTCCAGAAGATCTACATTTATTTACATCTGACAAAATTTAATTTGACAGCGAGTGCTGTATGCTAGCCCTGGAAAGCCAGTATAATTTATTACTGCCATTTGGTTTCATCATATCCAAGAGAAGAAATTCACGCCAGTGCAGAAAGCCTCTATAACAACTTGGATCACTCATGAGAGGGTCAAGGGGCATCATCCAATGGCTTTCTTGATAAATAGTTTCTCACAGTTGTGCTACCCCAGTACACAAGAAGGAGCTAGATAAAGGGCCTGTAGCAGGTAATGACTGTCTCATCTGCCTTTGCTTGTAAAGAGATAGAAAGCACAGACAACAAGACACAGACACTCCATGCATCACCTCATGCATTCTTTCATCTTCCCATACGTGGTCCTCACACACCAACTTCAGCATTTAACCTATGGCATGGCCAACCCCTGGAACTCTGCATGTTTCCCCCTTGTGCACATCTGTTAGGCATTTGGTTCAGCTCCCTGTATTGGTTCTGGGTTAGGTCATGAAGCTATTAACAGAACTTATGCACACTGTTAACAATACTGTGCCCAGTTCAGAAAACAAAGCAAAACAATTTTATAGAGTCATGGAATGGATGATAGCAAAATTAATTATGTTGGAATAAACTACAAGTCATGGCATCAGCAATACTGGAGAGAGAAGGCAGGTTAGCTCCAAATTCCAAAGTGATGAATCTACATGGAAAACAGTAACAAACGGTGTTATGAGCAATTACAGGGAGCCTAACTGACATTTAGGAAGAGTCTACAGATAGAAATAATAATTAAACAAACAAAATATAATAACCTTGAATTCTGGAAACATAGCCCCTGCAAAGACTAACCTGCTTCCCATAGTCTTCAGGATAAATGAAGCACAACTATTCATCTGCAGACTGAAATGACAATATCTGCATTCAGAGTAAACCTTTGGTGCAGAGTTAATCTGCAGGTCACACCTGTCATCCCAAGCCATGTAGGGACTTGAAATAAATCATGCAAAGGTCTTCCACCTACCCTCTTTCTAATGCTACAGATATACGAGGCTTTTACACAGCAGTTTCAGCTTTCTTAAGAAATCTATCTTTCACCAAGCTAACTACATGTTTAGGAAAACTAACTACATGTTTAGGAAAAAAAAAAAAAAAAAAAAAAAAAGTGATGACAGTACCTTCTAATAGCATACAAACACTACATAGCAATAGCAGGTAACAAAGAAAGAAAATTAGCTCACAACTTCAAACAGCCAGCCAAGTTCAAGTGCTGTCTCTATCCAGAAAGACACTGCTTCCTCAGCTGCTAACCCATAAATGATGGCAAGGAGGGGTGAATTCATGCTCCTCCCTTCCAGCCATTCAGGTGCATTGCTTGCACCTGAACTCTCTGGGTTAGCTATGCCTGTTCACCTGGTGTTGAGCCATTGGTTCAGGCTGTGACCTGGCAATTTTGTTGCAATACTGTGTTAAGCACTAAGGTGAAAACCTGGATTAAGTTTGGGATCAAGTGCTGGAGCCAACATGAGTCAAGACACCAGAGACACAAAGATAAGTACATACTGAAATGAGCAGCATAGTCAGAAAACCGCAGAGCCAGAAGTTTGGAAGTTGGCAAGTCTCTATCAGGAGGTAAGTCAGATCTGGAACAAGGTGAGGTCTAAGAGCTGAACACAAAGAAGGCAGGAACAGGAATCAAGACTAAACAAACAAGAATGAAAAGCAGGAGAGATAGAAGTAAAACCACAGCCAAATGGCACTGCAGGCTGCCAAGAGCAACTGGTGGAGTTGTCTGACACATCTGCTGTTAGAGGAAATCAGCCAAGCCTGAGTTCCTGCACAGCTGGGCCACAGTCCCAGTCGCACTATTGCATCCAGCTGCAGGCTAGTAGCCCAAGCAGAGCCCAATAGTGTGGACAAATGGGCACCAGTTTATAAGTAGACCCACAGGAGTAGCTTGCCCTATAAATATATTGGTGCAAAACAGCAGATTTAATTCAGCTTATGTATCCAGTAGAGCACCACGCTGATTTGCCTAAATGTGTTTAAAATTATAGCTTTAATTAAATGCTGCAAGTCGGTGCACTGAAAAGACCTTAGTGCAGAAGCAGTAGCTGGATTTGATGGCAGGCAGCAGCGCCAAGGCTCCCGAAAGTGGAAAGGCATCCCCTCATCTCCCCCTGCTGGCCCGCAGCTCCCTGAGCCGGCGGCTGGGAGCACCCAGCTCCGGCTCACCGCTCGGAGAGGCTGCAGGAGGGGGCTCTAGGGAGCAGCCTCCAGCATCCAACCGCTCTCAGATGCAAGCAACGGCATAAAACCCCAGCCCTGCTATCGAGAATTAGTCATTTGCTCCCGGGGAGTTCATCCTACAGGCTCTGGTTCTTAATTAGACGCTGTTCATAATGGAGAATACAGAGTATGGAATTTCACACTGGGCCTTAAGATGTTATCTCAGTGAATATTAAAATCTCCTAGAAAATATAAATTAAGAAAGGAATGGAATAAAACCTCACTCTTTTAAAAAAAAATGTTCTTGCAACAGCAAATATCATGGCATACTGATGCCTGTTTAGAAACAAAAGCGACATCTGAAGGAAGTGGGAACAGCAAAATAACAAAATATGTGTTCATTTTGTGTTACAGGCACCTCCTATCTGGTTAGGGTGGTATTAAAACTGACATGCAGTTGGAGCAGCTGGAGAGATCCTGCAGCAAAATAGGGTTACTAGGTGTGGTTAATACCCAGGATGCTTTTCTCCTTCCTTTTTCAGGAGCAATGCTGTTGTCAGAAACAAAAGGACAAAGAGGAATATTTGTAGTTGTTTTTGCAGGAGTGGAGCATTACTTGTTTTCGTTAAGATGCTGTGATATATTATTTATTTCTACTGCCTCTATGGCCAGAAAGTAGTACGGATTATATCCCTGCCAGTGTAAAGGAAATGTGCGTGGAACACATCCTGGAGTAAATGATTTATTCAAGTGTCAAACGTGCCACCCAAAGGCTTAGTGGTAACAAACAGGCCATAACTGGTGCTGGGGTGAGATAACTAATCCAAATAATTTAATATCCAAGGAACCAACTCTGAAAATTTAATTTAGTTGTCAAAAACTCTTAGAATACAAACTGTCTTCTGATGTATTATTTAAAGTAACATGGTGATTCTGAAAAGGAACAATGGACCAGAACGTGTTTTCTGTATGGACATCCTGTGCTATGCCTTCTCCTTGGCACTTGGCAATGAAGAAAAAAAAGGACAGAACAATCTGATCTTAAAAAGTGAGTCTATAAATTCCCAAATATTCATGAAGCAAAACACAAACCTGCAGATTACCATACAGTTTAAGGAGCTCTAATGAATACAATTGTTGTCTTAAATTAAGTGTAAATAGCGTATTCAGGTTGGTTTAGTGGTAGCATTACAAAACATAAAAATCTTCAATTAATTTTCAGTCAGAAATGCCCTAATTTATATACTGAGAATCTAGATTCCAACTTACCCCTTTAAGGCTTTAAATTGCAGTAAGATGCAAAGCTGCTTTATAATGGTTATAAGTTACACTTGCACTCACTTAAAATCCATTTTATATTCCCAGGATGATGAAAAGCAGCCCTAACATAAGGCAGAACCAGGTTTCTAGTTGACTACCAGCAGCCCTAACCAACACTGCAAATTCAGGGCTGCAGACTTAACCAAATGCTGCCAAGGGGACTCCCTCCTGCACCAGTGCCCTGCCATCCCACAGGGCTTTCCTGCAGGGCAGCATGCAGGGTCAGATGTTAATGTCCTTAAACAGCAGCAGAAAAATCAACAAGCAACACTCCTCTTCCCCCATATGCACCCACATCATTTAAAAACATCAACCTCAGCATGTCACAGAACATTCTTTCAATCATATTTTAATCAAAGTGCTTTTCAGCTTCTCAGGCTTTATGTAAGAATCACATGAGCTGCTTTAATCTTTCCTCCTCCTCCCTCCTTAAAAAAAAGTTTCAGTGCTCTGTGCTTACTCAAAGAATGGCACTCAGCACAGCAACAGACACATAAATCTTTTGAATTGCTAAAAAAGTGTTACCCAGAGGCTGGTATAGCTCTAGATGATGACAATCAAGTGCACAGGACTGGAGAACGCAGTTGAAAAGCACTCAGATAATATTTTTTCCTACTAAAATATCCTTATTGGTACAGGGCACATCCATTCTATAAATAGATGTGGCTTGCAGGATAGGGCAATTTCATCATCTTGACTTTAATGGTTTGTGAAAATAATTTAAACCATAAGCAAGGAACAGATATTAACATTATTCAAAGCTATGAAGATGTTACTTATTGAGTGCAAGTAAATATTTGTCAGTTTTTCTTGCCATCTGAACATTGCCAATAAACCTAGCACTTCAGTTAGTTGCTTTGTATGACACTGCCTTCTGCCTAAGAAGGAAATATTTCTCTAACTCTCCTGGAGTTCACAGCTATCCCGAGAGAAATGACTTCTTGCTGGTTGTCTTCCAAGGGATGCTGTCAGCCCCTCAGTAGTTCACTTCGGGTGAAAACAACCCTTGTGCCGAGCCCAGGCCAAGATCATATACCAAATAAGTCCCATTAAAATCTTCAGATAACACTTAAGTGATATTTAAGTACCACAGCACTACCCTTCTGCTCGGTACTGAACTCATCTACTACCTGCAAAGATGGGTTTGTTCCAAGTTAAAATTAGCAAGGGCTTACCTCAGTGAGGGACTGGGGAAATCAGCTCCAAACCCTAGAGAACATCCCCAGAGACACGCTCTGCTGAGTTCTTGGGAGTTTTCCACTTCAGCACATCAGCAAGCAGAGGGCTGGTCACAGCTACCTAGGTGAGTTGCACAGGAGCGCAAGCACTGTGTGCTTGTGCTGTGTTCTGCCCAGCTGGGCACCCAGCAGGGTGCCAAGGGAACAGGCATGCCATCATTCCTGTGCCATATCCATTTTAGGCTGCAGTAACCAGGCCTATGTTAAAGAGCAAGGGGCAGGAGATTATACTGTAGAAGGTGATTCCTGCAATGCAGCTATATGGTTAAATGTGTCCTATCAGTACAGCAAGATCCTACAATGTGGCAGGTGGCCTCAGGAGTGGGTCATGACCGATGTGACTTCACTAAAATGCTTTCATTTTGCTCCATCTTGTCCAGACCTTGTGCTGGCATCTTTCATTTTCGCTCCAATTTCTTCTAAGTGTCGGGTCAGCTGCAAAAAAGGTCTTGTTCATACTGGAAAGAAACAAGACAAAAGGATGCTTCCAACACCATATAATTAGTGTGCAAAGCATGACCACAGATAAAATATAGATGCATGTAAAATATGGGAACCAGACCTTCTGCCTTGCTGATGCAATTATTCATATGCATGGCAACACAAATATGCCGTGGAAGGGAATCTGTGTCAGTGATAATGTTTGCTCAGATATTCACTTGCATATTCATGGCCTCATATGGAGAATATGCAGTGGGGAATGATTGGTCCACCTACTTCCATTTTTGTTTTCTCAAAATCTTCTTCCTTTGTCTTCCTTTCTTCTTTTCCTCTTCTTTTATTCTGTTTTGTGTGTATGTGTTTTGTGGGTTTTTTAATCATCCCCTCTCCCTGTTTCAGAGGTACTTGGAACAACATTTCAGACAAGTGTTACAGCAGCGTGTTTCGTCTTAATAAAGCACATTGCATCTTGCATATAAAATCCCTTTCTCCTGGAAGAATCTTTGTAATATCCAGTTAGACCTCATGACTTTTCTGTCTTTCTCTTTTCCTCTTCTTCTGTCTTTTTTCCTTCTCTCTCCCCCCCACCCCACCCACCCCCCATCCTCCCTCCCTTCCTCCTTCTCTTTCCCCTGATCTGAGCTCTGTTACAGTCCCTGGCAGGCAGTGACTGAGAAGGATGGAGAAAGCCCTGCTGTGACATTTTCCAGAGGATCTTTCCCAGGAAGGAGCCACTTCACAGCATTCCCAGAATATACTCTCATAGTGTCCAGAAACACTTTCCAAAGTATTTTGGAGACTTTTAACCCACTCCATTACTGCAAGTGGTCTCCAGTTTCTTCCCGCCTCACATGTACTTTGAATGATTTCAAACCCATGTAGCTCACAAACAGAGGAGGAGATTCATAAATCCTTTGTTTCCTTTTTAAAAAAAGAAAAGAAAAAAAAAAAGAAATTGCTAATACTGCACTAAATACATAGTCACTGCCAACAGTAACACACAAAACAGCCTGCTTCCATCTGCATTGAGATTTCTCAGACAAGCTGTACAGCATCACTCCATGCTAGGCCTTGGCAATAGTCATAAGATTGGTGGGAAGACACTGCAGAGATGGTGGATAAAGTTAACCAGGCAGGCCTGACATTTGCACAGAACTAAGAAGTTGCTCATTCCCTAGGGGCAGACATCATCACCATTCTTATCTCAAGTTCTGCATATTTTATAAGTCATCAGAGAGAGCACGTTCATCTATAGGATGTTAATATTTTCATGTTATACGTGTAACATTCATGCAGAATGTTTGTCTTAGGTGAAGATCATATAGGAAAACTTATATGAATTAATGCTAAAAAATTACATTCACTTTCTCCCAAGAGTATACTGAATGTCCAAATGGGGGAGGAAGAAGAGAGAAGGCTAAAGATAATGTATTGGTATAGAGCAGTATACAGAGGCTTTCTAGCCTTTCACTTACATTATGTTAGACAAGGAGTATATATTAATTGTAATCAAGGGCACCTCCTACTGCTCATGTCACTTCTTGGTAGGGCTTCTCCTTTTAGAGATGTGAAAGCCACCACTTGGCATCTTTCATAATGCTTGTGTGGAAGAGCAGAAATGCTGTTACCCTCCCGCCCACCCTGATCACCAGCCACACAGCACCATCT